ACCATCCAGTTGTCTTTCTGCCCACCGGGCTGAGTGCCTCAGGAGAGCAGGGCCCCTGGTTTCTCCTCACTGCCCTGAGTGCTGGACATGAGCATCCACTGCAAGTACAGCTCCGCCACGGAGAGCGCTCACACAGGGGTCTCTGCAGCCAGCCCCGGGAGGCAGCACCAAGCGGACGGTGCCGTCAGTATGCCGTCAGCGGCTTCCCTCTGCGGGCTTCGGTTTCGGGCCACTGGTGATATTCCCACCAGCCCACCTCAGAATTCACTCTGGAGCATAAATGTAAGCTTTTGGACTTGGTGGGATAAAGTCATAGAATTCCTTCCCCTCCCCAGTCACATGCCTCTGAGGTCCCTCCTGATGTAGGCGCCCCTGTCCTAAAAGAGCAGCAAGGTGGAGCAGGACCGCTCCTTGCCATCCCTAGAGGGGCTCTGCAGCCCCTGTCGCACTGCCTCTCCCTGGAACCACTCCTCACTGAGCAGTCACTTCTGATGCTGCCCTGCAAGACGCTGGGACAGAGCTGAATCCGCCAGACAAGAGGACATGTGTGCAATGGCTCCCAAACCAGGGAGGGCTACCAAAGCCAGCAAGGTTGTTAAAGGCCAGCCCTACTTGCAGGGGCCACTACCAAACGAGGAGCAAAGTCATGGTGGCTGAGAATGGCTATCCCCAAAGATGGCCAGGGCCGATGGGGAGGAGGAAAGCTTGAGCAGAGCAGGAGGGCAGGGCACCCCGGCAGAGGTGTGCTCAAGAGAGGGGCTGAGGAAGCTACCGGAAAGGCAGTTGGGGCCAGAGGTGAAGGGCCTTAAATGCCAGGCCAGGGGGCTGGACCTTATGCTGGAGGCAGGGAAGGTTTGAAGCAGGGAGTGCCCTGGCCCCACCCAGTGCCTTTTGGGCGATGGGTCAGGTAGGTACAGCATACCTGGCACCTTTTGTTCCAGAGTTTTCTATGCCGAGGCTAACTAGGCATGCTTTTCCCACGTGGGTTCCCTTAGCCTCCCTTGGGGTCACTAGTACTCCATTTCATGTGGGTAGATGGACAGCCTGGCAGTCCCTATGGCACCTCTGTCCCCTAGTCCAGGCTGGCACTGCTCAGTCCTCAGAGGGAGGCTCCTGGGTGTTTGGTGTCTTTGCAGCCCTGGTAAACCCCAGCCCTCCTCCCACTTTGTCACAGGGATCAGCCTCCTCATCCCCCCAGATGCCATACCCCGAGGAAAGATCTACGAGATCTACCTCACGCTGCACAAGCCAGAGGACGTGAGGTGTGGGCGCGGGCCCTGTTGCTGGGGCTGGGCGGGTCCTGCCCTCTGCCTTCAGTCACCATGACACCCCCTACCCATCCACTGTCAGACTTGGTCTGGCCTAGCCCTAAGGAGGGCAGGGAAGAACTGTCCATAAGCTGCACCCAGCCCTGAGGCCCCAACCCTCGGGTGCCACTGCCCTGCCCCAGCCGACTCCCAGGACAGCCCACTGACGCCTTTCCCTCCCCACCCATATTTCCCCACTTGAGGTTGCCCCTAGCCGGCTGTCAGACCCTGCTGAGTCCCATCGTTAGCTGCGGGCCCCCTGGAGTCCTGCTCACCCGGCCGGTCATCCTCGTCATGGACCACTGTGGGGAGCCCTGCCCGGAGAGCTGGAGCCTGCGCCTCAAAAAGCAGTCGTGTGAGGGCAGCTGGGAGGTGAGCAGGAACGGCCCTGAGCCCACCCACCTGAGCACAGAGGGCTTCCGAGTGGAGCCGGGGCTTCCCACCTGGCCCCAGAGCCACCCTGTCCCCAGGCTGGCCGCTCCTCAGAGCTGACCCATCAGGCCGTTGCCCGCAGGATGTGCTGCACCTGGGCGAGGAGGCCCCGTCCCACCTCTACTACTGCCAGCTGGAGGCCGGCGCCTGCTATGTCTTCACCGAGCAGCTGGGCCGCTTTGCCCTGGTGGGAGAAGCCCTCAGCGTGACCGCAACCAAGCGCCTCAAGCTGCTTCTGTTTGCCCCCGTGGCCTGCACCTCCCTCGAGTACAACATCCGAGTCTACTGCCTACACGACACCCACGACGCACTCAAGGTACCACTGCGCCACCCCCCCCGCCCCCGCCACAGGGAGGCCACACCACCACTGGCACTGAGGGCTGACCACCCCTTTCCTTCTGGGAGGGGGCGACCATGGGGAAGGGTGCTGCAGGCCCCAGGCTCAGCTGCCCACCTGGGCTGCGCTGCAGGAGGTGGTACAGCTGGAGAAGCAGCTGGGGGGACAGCTGATCCAGGAGCCTCGAGTCCTGCACTTCAAGGACAGTTACCACAACCTGCGCTTGTCCATCCACGATGTGCCCAGCTCCCTGTGGAAGAGCAAGCTCCTCGTCAGTTACCAGGTGAGGGCGCTCAGGGTGCCTGGAGTGGGCACAGCCAAGGCCGGCACACCTGACGCAGCCTCTCTGGCCGCCCCCCTCAGGAGATCCCCTTTTATCATATCTGGAATGGCACGCAGCAGTACCTGCACTGCACCTTCACCTTGGAGCGCGTCAGCCCCAGCACCAGTGACCTGGCCTGCAAGGTGTGGGTGTGGCAGGTGGAAGGCGATGGGCAGAGCTTCAGTATCAACTTCAACATCACCAAGGTGGGCAGAAGGGCTCATCAGCGCTGCAGAAATGTGCCTCCCCCCTACCCAACACACTCTGGGCCTATCTTGCCACCAAGCCCACCTCCTCCTAGAAACTGCTTAGCAGCTTCCTCCAAGTCTCCGGGGAAAGAGGTGCAGATGCAAACAAACAGATGCAGACAGATGCTATCGCAATCTGACTTGGGGTGGAGATTGAAGAGGATGTGGGAGCAGCAGGTGGGAGAGACAGAGCCTGGGGGCCCTGGGGTTTCTAGGAGGAGGAACTTTGCACAATGCCTCGGAGGCTGAGTAAGAGACAGACAGTAATGAGGGAAAGGGGGCTTCTGGCAGTGGGAACTGAGTGGGGAGGACAAAGAGGAGCACAATGAGTTCTGAGTGGTCAGTAGGGGCGACTTGGGGAGGGGTGATGGCGAGAGAGGAGGAGAATGAGGCTAGCCTACTCCTCTGCCCACTGGCTGTGTGACTTTGGGCAGGTCACCATACCTCTGAGCCTTGAGACCTTCTAAGCTCTAGTGAACAGGGCTCTGGCATACCAGGGGTACCCAGGAAATAGTGCCCATGCTGCCCCCATGCTCTGAGGTGGTTTGGGTGCTCCTCCAGCAGGAGGTGGCAGTGGACCTGGGCCATAAAAGTACTAACAGGCACTTCCCCCCCCCCCACCCCAGGACACAAGATTTGCTGAGCTGCTAGCTCTGGAGAGTGAAGGGGGGGTCCCAGCCCTAGTGGGCCCCAGTGCCTTCAAGATCCCCTTCCTCATTCGGCAGAAGATCATTACCAGCCTCGACCCGCCCTGTAGCCGGGGTGCCGACTGGCGGACTCTGGCCCAGAAACTCCACCTGGACAGGTGGGTGGGAGATGGGCAGGGAGGGGCTGCAAAGGCCTGCTGCAGTCTGTCCCAGTGGGGGAGGATGGGTAGGGTGGATAGGAAGCTCGATGGGGCTTGCACCCCACCCACCAGCAGCCACGGTGTCCAGTGCATTTGGCCAAGGGGAGGTCCTGCCCTTGGGTGCGCTGAGAGGCAGAAGGGTGCAGCCTGGGGTGAGGCAGGGCTGCTGACTGGCTCCTGTCCCCTCCCTTCCACAGCCATCTCAGCTTCTTTGCCTCCAAGCCCAGCCCCACAGCCATGATCCTCAACCTGTGGGAGGCGCGGCACTTCCCCAATGGCAACCTCAGCCAGCTGGCTGCAGCAGTAGCCGGACTGGGCCAGCCAGACGCTGGCCTCTTCACGGTGTCAGAGGCGGAGTGCTGAGGCCGGCTAGGCCTACAACGCCTACACTCTCACCAGCTTTGGCACCCGCCAGGGACGGGCAGAAGCCAGATGGGGCCCTTCCCGCACACTCAGGGGGAGCTGTGTGGACAGGCCCCCTCCTGGCCCACGCTGTCCCTTGACACTGGCCCTTCAGACCCTGCCCACACTTCTGCCCCTCCGAGGCCTGCCTGGCCAGGCTGGCACTGCCACCTGCTCTGACCCTGCCCCAGCCTCTGGGGCCCTGGGTGGACAGTGCCTAGAGCCCAAGCCAGGCCCAGCCCATCTGTGTGTGTGTATGTGCGTGTGATGCTACCTCTCCTCCTGCCCCTGGCCAGGAGGCCGCATGCACACGGGCATGCACGCACACACTGGGCTCGGGACATGGCGCCCGGAGCTCCTGCCCGAGCTGGACCTTATGCAAACATTTCTGTGCCTGCCAGGTAGGGGCACATCTGAGGGGCCTGGCTGGACAAGGGGTGGCCCCTGGATTCAGGCACACGACCACCACACGGGCACGTGCCCATGCATGTCTCGTGTGCTCATCTCACAAACTCCCCCCCCACACCCACCACACACACACATACACACACACACACATCTCATGCTGGACACCCGGAGGCCACTCACGTCTCTCACACCCAGTGTCAGTCCACATCTGCCTCTCACATGCTGCCCTTCTCCCACCCACCCAGGGACACCCAACGGCTCCTCCCTGATCCTCCCCCTGCCCCCATCCTGGAGGAGCCCTGCCCAACAGGGCATGTGAATATGCAATGGGAGTCCCGGGCTGGACAATGGCAAGTGTGCGTGCCGTGGTGTGCCCATTCCTGGGGCTGGCCGGTTCCCCCACGCGGGGCCTGTTGTGTGAAGCTCGTGCCCTGACTCTGTCTTAAGTGCATTCGCGCACTTACACTTGGCCTTATGTACACAGCCTTGCCCGGCCGCCGGGGCGCGTAGGGATTTTAGCGGACGTGAATGTAAATAAATTATATATATATATTGCTAACCTGAGTGCTACTTCTCTCTGGGAAAGCCAGAGGTCAAGGCTGGTGGCCACAGAAGGGCCACACTTGGGCTATTCTGGGAGTCGTGCGTGGCTGGGGACAGGTGGGGCCTGGGCTCTGGTTCAGCAAGGGTAGTTCCTGGAGACTTCTTCAAACATGGGCCATCTGGGCAAGGCGGCAGGCAACCGCAGTGACCAGGGCTGCACCTTTGCCGGACCCATCTTCCGACTGCAGGAAGGTGACCACACAGCGAGGGGCCAGCTCCCTCACTGTGGCTGCCACCAGGCCAGAGAAGCTGTGGGGAGGGGGGGCTGAGGTGAGCCCAGGCCAGCCAGATCCCACAGGGGCCATTCCTCCCTGCCCATCCCAGCACCCAGACTCACTGGGGATGCAGCTTGTAGAGGGTCCCATCCACCCCTACGGACACAGTCAACTCTTCTAGGCCCCGGTTCTCACGGATCTTCTCCACCACAGCAGCCACACCCGCCCCGCAGAGCTGAGCAGCCCGCTGGGACACAGCCTGGCACACCTCCAGGACCATCAGGGCGTCATCTGAGGTCAGGGACAACCCCAGATCCTCCAGGATGGTTCGGACCTGCCTCAGAGCCAGGCTGTCACTGGGGACAGGAAGGAATAGAGCACAGAGAGCCAGGGTCCTGCATTAGCTTTCCCACCCCATGAGCTCTCCATCCTCCAGAATGGGCCTCCCACCAACCAGCATTTTACCCAAAGTGAATAGATAGATTCTTTTGGGAGATGGAAGGAGGCAATATAGGCCTTAGGCACCTTTCAATCTCAGAGAGAAACTTGGTCTTGAAGATGTCCCTGGTCTGAAGGCCCTGGGTCTGCTGGCCCCGGAAGAGAACTCCAAGGCTGGTCAAATGCAGGAGAATGTGGCGGACGATCTCCCCCAGGTACATGCCACTGATCATCTTCTCAAAGCTGCGTGAAAGCACAAAGATCAGGAGACCCTACCTGCTACCCTAACCAGTGCCAGCCACCACCAGCTGCCCCTGCCCAGACCCACCCATACCTCTGCTTGCCAGGGTTGATGGATGCCTGGTCCACATTTGCATCAAAGCAGGTTCTAAGCAAGTCCAGAGAGCCATCATCCCCAAAGGCACCCCACTCCATATTGATGCACATGTGGCCTGAGTCCCCAGGCACGGCTGCCACATTCTGAAGCTCCTCCATGTAGCAGGCATTGGTGCCAGTTCCTGCAGAGGTAGAAATCATTCACTGACATAGATAAGTGCCCTTCTATGCCCTTCCCAAACTGAGATGGCAAAATTTGGGCTCATTTCTTACCTCTCCATTTCCCCACACTCACAACCTGTCCTATGTCCTGGTCTGCCTTCCTTCCTGACACTCCTTCTGCAGACCCTGGCAGTATCAGCCCGTCTGGGCCTCCACTGCTTTCCCTACCAGCACCATCATCATTGTATCTTCCATGCTATGCCAGAGCACCCCTGGCAGATGTGTGAGAGCTCCCCCGCTGTCTGCAGGGGAGAGGCCCAAGCTCCCTGGACTAGCCTTCCAGATCTTTAGTCAAACTAGCAGGTTCTGGGCCAGGAGCTGGGGACATAGACAGGAATCAGACATGAGGAGCCCCACAGTGGCCAGGGAGTGGGCAATAAGCATCTAACTCTGATATTGCCTGTATGTACCCAAATAGAAGTGCAAAAAAGAGCATCATGGGAGCCTTGAGCACAGCTGAGTCTTCCCACCTAGAGGGTCAGGAAAAGCTACAGAGAGGAAATGATGTTTGGATTTGACTTTGAAGCCAGGAAGCACAGAAAGAAAGGCATTCTAGGCAGAAAGCACATTCTGGGTAAAGATATCCCCTTCCTCTCCCCAACACATGGTCAGCTCTAGGCAGATGGTGTCCTTGTCAGCCCCACCTGGATTTCCTCTGACTAGTTTATTCATAAAGCCATCTAGGCATACCTCTCCTGAGCACCTCCCCACTCTAGGCTCTATGTTGAAGAAGCTCCCAGTTTCAAAAGGAGGCTATCACTTACTTCCTGCCCTAGGAGACTGATGCCCAAAAGCCTATGGGAGTCCTCCTCCCCCACCTAGACACTCTTTTCAAGTCCCACTCCTGTTAGGACCACTTCCTTTCTGATCTTGGCCTTGTCACCCTGTTATGTAGAGTCAGATTCAGCTCTCTCTGACTGCCATATGCTGTCCTGGGCCTAATCCCCACCAAATGGTGGGTTTTGAGAAGATAGGTATTTCCCCCATCTTTATGTATAGTCTTCCTGCCCCTTCATCCAGCCCCTATCTGGCCAGAGGAGAAACGCTTAATAAAGACTTCAGAACTTGGGCTACCTAAAGGACCCTCACAGCTCATTCTCTGTCCTCCACCACCAGCCTCTACCCAGTTCCAAGCACTGAGTGTGTACCATGGGCCAAGCACTGTGCCATGCTTTGTTTCCTCTCCTCTCACCCTCACCATCCTTGAGATAGGCATTACTACTATCTCTGTCTTAGAAGGAAACTGAGGCTCTGGTGATTTGGCCAAGGTCATACAGATGGAAGTGGCAGAGCTAGTATTTCCACCCAAATCTGTATGACTCCAAAGCTCAGATTCATTTAACAGAAGGGCAAACTGAGGCTCAGAAAGCTTAAATGACTATGAATCAGTAGCTGAGCTGAGCAAAGTTCAGACACCCAGCCCAAATGAGTGTTGCAGGGCCTAGCTGAGTCAGGCGGGAATGGTGCCACATCCCCAAGGCCAGAGGAACGTCCAACCTGAGGAATCAACAGGAGGTAATGAATTAACATCAGGCAGTAGGAACACAAAAGAGCAGGGCCCTCCTCACCAACAATGAGGCCGACCTCGCAACGGGGATCCTCATAGCCACAGGACATCATGGTCCCCACCGTGTCATTGACAATGGCAACCACATTCAGCTCCACTGCCTACACACAAAAGGATGCTGCTAGTTGCTGGGCAACACGGTTGTCACGGCAACCAGTGCAGGACCCAGAGGTCTCTACTGCAGAGAGCCACCCACTCCACCCTCCCCCCAGGTCAGGAAGCAGGAGACCCTTTGCTCCTTTCAAGTCCTGCCACAGCCCCAAAGCACCCCTGAAGGCAGACTCCTCACCTCTCTTCGCCCGATGGCTTCCCGCAACAGACACACAATGTCTTGGCCCTCACAGTCTGATGCATTGAAACCCTTTGTCCAGTTTAGGAGGATGCCCTGGGGGGACAAAGGTGGGGAGGAAGATGAAGGCCCCTTGGAATCTCACTCTTCCTCCCCAAAGCCTGTATCCCATCAGAAGCATATGATATCCCCCCTCACCAAGCAGGATTCCATGCCTACTCTGCCACATGGTTGAGGGCCTTGCCCTCTGCTCCCTCCTAACTCCCTAGGAGCCTTCCAGTGTAAAGAAACCTATTAATAACCATCCAACCTGTGTCTTCTATTATTAGTGCCAGAATGCTCAGATGGTCTGAGAGTCTGGATGTTTTAAGACAGTTGCCCAGAAGGAATGGCCCTTCATAATTGGGTTAGGAACAGAGCTGGTAAAATGAGTGCTGTGTATGAGAAGGGGGAGGGCAGAGAAGGCTCAGAGGTCCAAATGACAGAAAATTCTGCTCTTTTAGAAAGAACTAGCAAGAGTCACTTGAGAGGAAGGAAACTGAGGAATTAGGGACAGAGCCGTGTCAACAGGAGATTCACTTATGTGTTCCAGATATGAGTGAAGGACAAAAGGAAAAGCCAGAATCCAGAACACCTAGGCAGGATGGGAAGAGACAAGACAGATAAGCCTTTATTGTGAGAAACTGACCTTAAATTGTGAAGTTAGTGATGGGCTTGACAGTCTAGGACTATTTTTTCTAAGTATGCTTCCTCTGAGGGAGCGGGCAGGGGAAGTTATTCTCCTGCTGTTAGAAAATGACAGCTCTGCCCAAAGTAGGAGCCTGCAGAGCAGGTGTGACAATCTTTGGGGGGGGGGGGGCGCCTTGGTGGCTCAGTCAGTTGAGTGTCCAACTCTTGACTTCATCTCAGGTCATGATCTCAGGGTCGTGGGATCCCTGGTCTTGGCTCCATGCTCAGCAGGGAGTCTGCTTGAGAGTCTCTCTTTCCCTGTTCCTCTGCCCCTCCCTGCTGCACTCTCTCTAGAATAAATAAATCTTAAAAAAAAAAAGAGGAAAATCTTTGGGGCAGAAGATTTTAGAAATATGAACTGACGCTTCCCCCAACAATATTTCCTTTTATCCCTTTTCCTATGTAACCACAGCCAGAGTGCTCAATGCTCTTCATCTCAAACACAGAAACCAGAGAGTGCAAGGGCAATTGAGAAGGAGGGCTAATGTGGGGGAACCCAGATCATAAGTAGCAGCCATATTTCCCTGCTTCCAGACAAAAGAAAGACCCCTGGTCTGGGGAAGGGGAGCTGGGGGAACCTAAGAGCCAGGTTTTGGAGTTTCCTGAGAAAGGTGTCCTATGCCTCTACCTGGGCCATGCTCCTGTGGGAAGGTTAGAGACAGAAGAGATTTGAGTGATCTGACTAGCAGAGTAGGTCTCTGTCCTCCTTCCCCATGGAGGGGAAGGTGAGTTGTCAAGGGAGGTGTCAAGAACCAAGAGAGTAAGCAGAGTCCACACAGCTGGGGCCTGGACATCTCCTGGCTTCCCTGAGTGTCTGCCCATACACAGCAAAGGATGCTGTGCAGCTGAAAGGGGCCCCCTGCCTGGGGAAAGAGGTCCCCAAATTGATTAAGTTTTCACACACCCCCAAAAGAACGTGGGCTCAACACAGAAATTAAGCTCAGTTCTAGAAAATGAATAGGACCGCGTTTCTTCTTGCACACCTGATTTTGCATACTGAGTCCCACCTGCTTCTCACACCTTACAAGGAATAATCAAATGGTGCCGGCATGCTTAGTCTAGAGTGGAGCATACCAGCAGAGAGACACTGCTGAATGCTTGATTCCAAAGGGCCACTGTGTAAAAGAAAGCCAAGTACAGAAGCATGTGTCTGAGAGAGGTCAGAGCTGGAGCAGAGCTGAAAACTGCACGAACGCTGGGTGGAGTAGAGAAGGCAGAGCTTTTCAGGAAGAGCATAGTGGACAACTTGAGGGGCAGCAAGCTCCTCCTCGTAAGAGGCTTTTTGGCAGAAGTTGGGGGTGTTGAGGAGGAGACTCCTGGGAGCTTGGACCAGAGTATGGGAGGAGCCGTCTCCATGACAGGCCTCAGGTGTGTGCACTGTCGAAGGATATGCAGAGGTATATGCTTAGGGGCTGCTGCGTCTAGATCTGTGCCTGCTGCTCTGCCTTTCCAGTCAGGCGCCCAACACCAAGCCAGGCCTCAGAGGGACACAGCAAGTTCGGGAAGCTGACATAGGGCAAAGAAACTGGGCAACCGTAAGCCCTTTTGAGAAATAGGGACTAATGCTGTTCCCCGCAGGTCCCCTAGATCAGTACGCCAGGGCTTCGTGGTGTACTATGAAGTGGACAGTCAGTGTGTTCCTTCATCAGCCCTGATCTGGGCCTACACTGCTCCCAAGTGCCCAGACCTAACCTGGCTCCACTTTCCTGCCCATTGGCAGCCCTCAGGGGAATCCATAATCTTTTGCATCCCAGCCCTCTTTACAGCCCTGGATTCCAGGCCACTTTACCACACCCCTTCCACCTGCACACACCACGTCCAGTGAAACCAAGGCTAGGTGCTGGCTCAGCCCAGCAGTGCTTCTGCCCACCCCCATCCCCGGCCCAGGATACCTGAAGCCCTCTCCCCCGCCTCCTGCCCATTCCCTGAAGGGTATGAGGGTGGAAATCCCGTGGAGATGGTTTCTCCTGGCCCTCCCTCCCTCACCTGGTCGAGGCCAAGCTGCCTACATGGGAAGGAGAAGGTGAAACCCAGCGGGAGGCTCTGCCCACTCAGGCCCTGCTTCTGCTGGAAGTCCACAATGCAGTCCACGATGTGGTCGAAGAGCTGAGGTGTAGGGCAAGTCAGGGGGTGGCCCAGCCCTGGTCCTTCCCCGCCCCTGACATCAGGTCCAAGCTCTGGGTACCTGCTGCCCAGAGCCTTGGGCCACATACTCCGGGATGGAGTAGACCTGGCTGGTGATCTTCACACCTCCTGCTGTCACACGCACCAAGAGGACCCGGAAGTTGGTGCCCCCCAGGTCCAGGGCCAGGAAGTCCCCGCGCTCTGTGGGACAGAGATCCTCAGTGTCAGGACAAAGCACATTCTGTGACCTCCAGGAACCCATATTCCAGCCCCACGCTCAGGCCGGGTCCTCACCAGTGCCATCAGGTGTGGCCCGGACATAAGTGGGCAGCATGCGGAGGGATGAGGACTCCCCTCGGAGCCCCTTGACCATGGCCTCCCGCATCTGTGCCCGCACCGCTGCCAGCTGCTCATGGTCCAGCCGGAAAGGCGCCAGGGTCTCTTCCAGCAGGCGGCGGTGAGCAGCCAGGCGGGCAGCCACAGCCGTCACCATTGCCACTCCCCGGCCACCCCCATCCACAGAGGGAATGAAGGAGACATCACATTCGGGGGCCAGGAGCATCACGGTCTCCTGCAGGATGCTGAGGAAACTACACAGACACAAGGCAGGCATACCTGGCTTGAACCTGAGCCTGAACCCCAGGGCTTGCTGAAGCCCTGGGCCCCATCACTTCAAATCCCTTCAGTTCTAAATCCAGCTGTACACCAACCTTATGCCCAGTGTCTCTAGTGCTCCCAGTGCCCCCAGAGTCCCCCTGCCTTACACACCCAAAGAGAAGCATCTTTTCTCTCTTCTGACTTCTGGCCTCCCTTAGTCCCCATCTGACCTTACCCTGCTTGGGTGCCACTCTTGGCCACTGCCTTGCACACATGGTACCAGAGTGCCCTCTGGGTCTTTATGGAAAACGCACATGTTCCATACTACCTGCCCACATGGGACTGTGTGTATCTCCAGTACCTGGGGTATCGCTCGAACACTCGGCCTCCGGTGGCCACGGTGATCTGAAGCACCTGCTGCTCCCGGCTGTGCTGGAGGCGGGCAAGAACAGCCGCCAGGGCGGCAGCACAGAGCCGGGCAGCCCGAGTGAACACGGCTGCACACACGTACTGCACCAGCTCAGCGTCCGAGGCCCCCATGCTCAGGCCCATGTCCCGCAGGATAGCATGCACACGGGCTGCCCCAGCCAACGGGCTGGAGGAACAGAGGGTACTGCTTTGGGACTCAAGTAGCCCCAAAGCTCCCTGCCCTCCCCCAGCCCCATGGCTACCCGGGGGACAGAGCAACCTCCCCTCTCCCAAGCCAAGAAGCCCCTTGTTTAAGCCCACGGGCTTTCTCTACTTACTCCTTCATCTCAGCCACATGCTCCAGGAGGATGCTGCCACGGCTCAGCAGGGCAGGGGAGGTGCAGCCACCAAAGAGGACCCCTCGCTGGGCCAGGTGAGCCAACACAAGCCTCACCAGCTCACCCAGGTACAAGCCCCCAATCATCTTCTCAAACCTACAGGTAAGAAGGGTGGCTGGACAGAGCTTTCCTTAAGCCCTTAGCCCACCTGGCCCCACCTCCAAGGGCCCCAAAAGAAGGATCATTTTCTTTGGGGTTCCCCAGACCGGCGGTTCCAGAAGCAATGGCTTCCCAGGAGATAGATGGGTGTTTATCCAGACCCTGCTGCCCCCTCTGGCTTAGGTTAGGTTCAGAGGGGCTCCTGGAGGACAGGGAATACTTTGCTACCCCTAATCCCCAATACCTGTCAGGAATAAGAGAGGGCTATGGGTTGAAAATTCTGGGTTCTAGAATCTTGAGCCCTTCCTTCTTTGAGCCTGGCCAGGGCCCCCCAAGATGCAACCTGGAAACCCTATGAGCAAGCAATAGGGAGGGGCCTAAGGGCCTGAGTTCAGGGACAGCAGCAAGGAAGGGAGCAGAAGAGTGATAGGCCATAGAGCAGAAGGTCAGGCCACCTCTGGGCACCAGGATTCAGGGACTCTCTGTCCAAGGCATGGTCAAAGGTGGTCAGCACTGGTCCCAGGACCCCATCATCACTGAAGGAGCCCCACTCAACGCTGATGCAGACGCGGCCCCGGTCCTCATCCAGCACTGCCACATGCCTTGCCTCCTCCATGTAACATGCATTGGTGCCAGTGTCTGGCAGGGATGAATCCATCAGGACCTGCCCATCAGGTAGCTGTAACCCCCCACCCATCATCACAAATGACCCATGGCTCACCTACAACAAGCCCGACCTCACATGGCCCAACCCCTGGCTCGCAGCCCATCATGGTGCCCACTGTGTCATTCACCACGGCAACCACATCGATGCTGTAGGCCTGGACAATGGAGAGGGCAGAGGTCATGGCTGACCTAAGTGGGCAGTGTGGGGGATGGGCAAGGCTGGGCCTTGGCTTTGATGGAGGGGCCCTGGCTTTGATGGAGGTGCTCAGAGTCCATGAAACACAATGTGTGTTCATGCCCACACATATACTCTAGGTCCTCCCCCACTGTAAAGAATTTTCCTCCCATCCCACACTCCCCCTTGTCTCTTCCACCCCCTACTCAGGCCCTGGGGCTCTCAAAGGCTCCCAAACTCAGTCATCAACTCCAGAACACCAGTGCTTCCCACAGGACCAAGATGATTGTGAGCAAGCACGACACCTTGAAGACTGCACTGTAGGTACCTGGCTTTCTAAGCCCTGACTTCCATCCACTAGCATCACTGCCGTTAGTCCAGATGGATCCAGATCCACCTTTCTTTGGCATCCAAGTGTTTGCATATACCTTTCTCTGAAAACAGAACTTCCACCCCAGCCCCAGCTTATGCCCTGGCAAACTCCTCCTTCAAGCCCCTGCCCAAGCCCTGGTGTGCCCTTCCCAGTGCTACCAGAGTCACTGGAACCACCTCCTTGACAGGGACAATCCTTTGTTGGAATGCTTTCCCACTAGACTGTGAGGTCTTTGAAGACAGGGTCAAGTCTTTTCATCTTTGTTTTGCCCTATGATCCTGAAAATTTATTTGACCTTTCTTAGCCTCAGTCTCCTTACATATGAAATGGGAATGGTAGCAACATTTACCCCAGGGTTAAACTGGATAAAGGATATACATAGAAAAGGAAAGCAGGCCTTCCCAGAAGCACAGGCCCAGCCACACAGGCAGCCCTCCCATTGCCCCTGCCTCCACTCACCCCCTGCCTCTTGATGGCATCTCGCAGCAACTGGACCACATCGTGGCCTTCCACACCACTGCACCTAAAACCTTTGGTCCAGGAAATAAGGGTGCTCTGGGGGCAGAAAAGTTGGGTCATTCCTCCAACAGCCTTCATGGGGCTGCAACTCCTCCACCTACTGTCCCCATGCCCACTTTGCCTCACCCTGTCCAGGCCCGTCTGGTGACAAGGGAAGGAGAAGCTGAACCCAAGCTGCAGACCCTCTTTGTCCACGGGGAGTGCATCCAGGAACTCAGACAGACAGTGGGCAGCAAAGTCAAAGAGCTGTGGGACAAGTTGGGGGCTCAGCTCTGCCCACCAGAGCCCCAGCCACCCAGCCAGTGCACAGAGACTCGGCAGTGAGCTCTTACCTGCTGACCGGGACCCAGCATCACCTCTGGGGGGATCACAAACTCCTGGCTCCGGGGCTCCATCCTATGTCCCTCAATACCCAACAGGGTCACCCACAGAACACGCAGTGAGGCCCCTGTGGCCCCCAGCTCCAGCACCACAAAATCCCCTTGCTCTGGGGCAAACAGGACACAGAAAAGCATGCAGCTGGCGAGACCAAGCCCTCTGCCTCCCAGAAATACCCCCAAGGACTGCAAAGTCTCATTAAGGGAGCTCAGAGTTGGGAACCTTATTGGGAAGAGGGATAAGGAACTTCTCCCTCCCCCAGATCAGAATTCTCTCCCCAGGCCTAAGCACCCATTTTGGTCTATGCCACCCACCAGTGCCATGTGGGGTGGACCCCACATATGTGGGCAGCATCTGGACAGCAGAGGCAGGGCTGGCCTGTCCCCCCAGTGCCTGCTCCATAGAGCCCAGGAGGCTGGCTTGGATCTGCCGCAGCTGTGTCTCCGTCACCTTGAATTGCTGTAGACACTCCAACACCTGGGGAGAAACAGGCTAATATCTGGGCAGGAGTCCTATTGCCTACCCAAGTTCTCTGACTCCAACCAGGACTGCCCCGCCCAGCTTGCTCCTCCCTTTACCAGTCCAGACCAGCACCTCCCTTAGCTTTCCCAGGGGCTGACTAGAGCCCTGCCTAAGCCCTCTCTGAGCCTTGCTGGTCTCCCCAGCACCTGCCCAGCCCCACTCCTCACCTCTTCACACACCTATGTTCTCTTGCTGCCCACAGCCCATACTTAGTTCCTGCCATCTCAGAAGGCTCCTTCCTGGAGGGGAGACCCACCCACCTCCTTCTCCTGCTCCATTCTCTGGCGGTTCCTTCTCAGATCCCTATGTCCCCTGCCCCTTCCATTTCTTGGAATTCAGGGTTTAGTGAGGCCTCTCCTGTCATACCACTGATTCACTCTGTCTCCTCAGTACCCAGAGGTGAGCTGCTTAGTGAGTTGTCTTTCACTGAATGAGCAAACAAATGAACAAATGTGGGAATGAATTTCACGTTCAGGTGCTTCCCTCTTCCAATCCACTTGATTCTGGAGCCTAAGTAAGCTCAGCTCAGAAGAACTTGGAGGCCACACTGTGGAGGACAGTCCTGCCATCAGTCAGCCATCCTTCCCACAGACACTGATTGAGCGCCTACTAGGGGCCCAACACTATTCCAAGCACTGTATGTTGCATAACCAGCTGAGTTCTGTTCCTGTGGAGCACAGATTTCAGCATAGAGGCAGAATATAAGCAAATAAACATATAATATGGTTCTGGTAGTAACAGTACCTTTTTTTTTTTTTTTTTTTTAAGGCTGGAATAGAAGTTTGAGAGTGACCAGGGGAGGAAAATGTATTTTTGGATATTGGTCTAGAAAGTTCTCCCTGAGGAAGTGACCTAAATAAAGGAAGGGAACAAGCCATTTGAAGATCTGGGGAAGAGGATAAAGGGATTTTCCTCAGAGTGAGGGGGTGGATTTGGGGGTAGCCTCGGCCAGGGGTGAATCAGAGCGATGGGACAGGTAGGCAGGCAGAAAGCAGAGGATGGCACACCCAAGGTTCTTCTCCACCAGTAGCCCATTGTGGGAGAGCTAAGAGGAGCCCCAGTACTCCACCTCTATATGGAAACCTCCCCCAGATGACCCTCTGGCCTGTCCTTCAAAGAGATGGCAGCAGCCTCCCTGGGTTTGCTGGAGTCCCAACCTGTGACTCTAATTCTCCTGGCCTTAGCCTTTCCCAGGTCCTCACCGCCTGTCCCACAGGAATTCCATTCCTATGACCCACTACCCCACACTGGACCCATATCTGTAAAGTAACCAACCAGGTATCTGAATAAGCAGGCAGGGGGAGCCAGGTAGGAGAGGCTGTTCAGTGAGGGAGATGGGGGTGACTCAGTTCCACCTCTGCTTTAGGAAGAGAATGGAAAACAGATCCCTGAGGAGGCAAATGATCCTAACTGGAGTGCCAGATGTTCAGTTCCATGTTTACATTACAGGAGATGCTTCTAGCAGCCATGCACACTAGGAAGGGTTATTCCTATGTTATGTTACAAATGGGGAAACTGAGGCTCAGAGAGGAACAATCATCTGCATAACCCAAGCAGCTATTAAGGGACAGAGTGGGATTTGAACCCAGATCTGACTAAAGAAGTGTTTCCACATGAATGTGAAGTCTTATAAAAACTAGCAATTTCACCTGAAAAGAACCCAAAGCTGATGAAGGTTGCAGTGAAGAAACCCCATAGGATAAGAAAACTTACATCTGAGTCCTTGCCCTGACACTTTTCCTGGCTGTGTGGCCTTGGAATAGGGCCGAGAAAATAATCATACTCAGAAGGCCCTTGAGTCCCCAGGGGCCATGTCATTTCTCACTTCTGTGGCCCAGCCATGAGTTGCATACAAAGGAAATGTTTACAGCAGGGTCTGGGGAAGAGACTGGACAAGGGTGAAGTGGGAGCATGAAAAGCAGTGAGGGGTGATGCCCCCCACAGTTTGCACAATAAGTGAGGTCCAGCAGATGTCAGAACAAGCTGGACAACTAAAGAAACTGCAGGGAACAATTCAAGAACCCTTTCATGCATGCCTCCTCTGTACAGGTCCTTCATCACCATTAGCTCACTTAATCCTCCAGGGGGTAGAAGGATTAGACTTTATTTTCTTCTATTTTACTGATGAGGAAACAGACTAGGAGATATGAAATGACTTACACAAGTGTTTCCTGCTTAATGGTGTGATATGCAAGCGTTTCTAAATCTTGGTCAAGATGACAGAAAAGAAACTCAGTCTGAGCTAACCTGAGGCATACAGACAATGCTGAAGAATAACCTCCAAGTTGAGTTCAGCACTGAAATCATCTCTGTGTGCCTGTTGCAGTGGCCATGTTGAAGGGAGGGAGATGTGCAGGAGTAACTAGAGAAATAGGGGAAGGAAGTGCCGTAAGAATATAGTCTTCTGCCAGAAAACCCCAAGAGGGTCCTTTCTAGACTATGTCAACCCATTCAGGGCAGGGACAGCACCTGTGTGGCAAGGTGGCAAAAGTAATACCTTTGGTACTGAAATACCTCAGCTCAAGCTCCTGTCATGAATTAAAACTCAAATCGGTTCACCTCTCTAAGACCCCTCTTCCTCAGCTGTAAATGAGAAGATAATCCCCACCTTGCTGTTGTGTGGAGCCACAAAGGAGATAGTTACTAGATCAGATCTGAAAGGTTGATAAACTAGAAAGGGCTGCACGGCTGTGAGCCCATGGCCCCATGGCATCTTCAACTGATCCTGCTCTTGATTGCCTTGAATAGGCATGAGTCAGAAACCCAGTGCTGAACTTACCAGCTCAGAGCTGTCTGAGGGGCAGGGCAAGTCCTCCTGGGAACAGCCAGGAGCTCCTTCCCTTTGCCGCAACCTTACTGACCCAATAGAGTCCATGTGGTTCCACAATGGAGGGTGGCCACCTATAGGAGAAAAGGGACAGCCCAGGTGAACCACATAGTCTACAGGCCTTCAGAGGCTGCGGCCCTTAACTTTCGTCCTTCAGAAGAGGACCAGGAAGAAAGCTGTACGCAGAGCTCAGAACCTCTGACCATCAATGATCCTTTAGTAATCAAGCAGAAGGCCCCTGTTTTCCAGAAGCACATATATTAACAGAGCACTGGGAAGGCTGATTTCTAATCCCAATGCCATTTATTCATTCTGTCATTCATTTACATTTACCAGTTCCTGATGCCTACTGTGCCAGATGTTGGAGTACAAAGCAGATATCGGCCTTGTCCTGAGGGATCTCACAGCCTTACCAACAATCGCAGTATGGTTGACACGGGCAGTAACAGAGATGGACGTGCTACTGTGCTTGGGAGTTCAGTGATGTTCTAGAGGTTTGGAACAAAGGGTTCGAGGTAACAAGGAGCCAAAGACCTGCTGGAGAAGCAGGCAAGCTGGACTGTGGATGGTCTTTATGCCAAGCTAAGGTGTACAAATTTCATCCTGAAGGGAGAAGTGGACAGGGATGGATCTGCACTTCAGAAAGGGGTTCCACCTGTGGCATAACTTCGGGCAGGTCATTTATGACTTCTCTGAATTTTAGTTTCTTCATCTGGGAGGAAATATCTACTTTCACAAGGTTATTGTAAGAATTAAATAAGACTTGAAAAATGCTTTGGGAAATTTAATGTGCATCATGAGATATCAGCTCATGGGTGGGTTTTGCAAGGTATAGTGATGCAGAATGGAAAGAGCCTTGTTCTCAGAGTCAAGGACCCAGCTGTCCACAAAGGAGCTAGCACCAGGTCTCTAATCTGGAGGCCTAATTTTCTTAATCTGCCAAATGGGGACCAACATATGTCAAAGAGCTGTGTGGGGCAAATGAAATGAGAGCAAAAGAACCTTGTGCAGAGTGTGCTTTCAGATTTATTTAGCTGAATCTGAATTGAACCTCAATTTCCTCCTCTATAACAGAACAAAAATTCAGTACTTGTGAGGATTAAAGGAGTTAATGGTTCTGACAGTCCTTTGCACACTGTTGAAATGTCTGGTATTTTGCTAATTCAAGCTAGAGGTGGTATTGCTGTTCCAAGAAGTTCCCAAGGGTGCCTTCAGTGATTCAGGTGCTTTTCAGGGGTAAAGGAAAAAGGAAATGCAGTGAAGGCCCCCAAATGGGCAGAAGGCATTTGTCCACTCAATCAGTCTACCTCTCTTCCTGTAACAGCAAGACTTTAGGGAAGATACTTTTCCATCACTGCAACTACTCCTCACCTTCCACTCCCATCATGCCCATGAATTTGCCCTCCTCATGGTCACCTATGAGCTGCTGATTGCCCCATCCCAGTCTTTTTCCCAGTCCCCATCCCTACTGTCCTCTGTCAGGCATGCAAAGCCATGAGATTTCTCTTCACTACAAAATTCTCGTCCCTTGGCTTCGACAGCCAGTCTTTCCTGGGCCTCCTTCCTGAGTCCCTCAAAATCTTCATAACTCTTTCTCTCCTCTCCCCCTTAACAATGCCCCACCCCACCCCACAGCCCTCTTCTCCACAGTCCCTTTGTATCAACTCCAAGTTTTAATTAAAACCTCTGTGTCAGGGCTCCCAAATCCCTGTCCTGAGCCAAATCCCAAATTCTGATGGTCTGTTAGACATCACTCTCCAGATGCTGGAAAGGCTCCTCAAACTCCATGGTCAAATACACATTCATTTTCTCCTTCACTTTTACCCATGAAACTCTTTCTGTCCTTCACCTTGGCTGGAGGCATCAAGGTTGCTCACCCACACAGCTATTCAGGTACCTGTCTACATCCCTGACCCTCACCTCCTCTATGCAATCAGGTCTCAGGCTGAAAGAGCTAAGAACAGAAAGTACTCTCCCGTGTATCCCCTCCTCCTGGTTCCCATTGCCACTGCCCTAGACCTTCTTCCCATCTGATTATTTCAACAACCTCCTAACTGATACTGTCCACTTCCCTGCCCCACCAACTCCCAACACATCACCAGAATGACTGGGCAAAAATAGATTTTATCATGCCATTCCCCAGCCCTATCTCCCCTAAGAAAGGAGGTAAACCTTCACATTGTGATATCTCCCGCTACAGAAAAAAAAAAGTCTAAAACTCTATCCAGCATTGCAGACCCCAAGCTTCCTCTCTTGCTACTCCCCCTCATACCCCAGCCACACTGACTACAAGTTTCACCCTGTCTCTTGCTGTCCAGCCTTTATTCACAGTATTCCTCAAGTCTGGAACCACTGTGTCTGAGTCATTTGCATTTTCAGCCCAGCACAGGGTTTGACATAGATAGGTGCTAATACAGCTTTGAAAAATTTGGGGGGGGGGGAGGGTTGGGGATGTCCTTATTCAGGGAACTAAGAAATCAGTTTCCAACAAATTTCCTCAAAATCACATATACCTAATTTCCAAATCTGTCAAATAGGAATGTTAACTCCCAGAATGTTACAGGTCTGTTTCAAGGATAAAATGGGATAACTGAGGCAATTATAATCTTGGAAAGGGCCAATCACTACACAAAGAGTAAGCTTTCACTCTCCTTTTGAGTCCCAGCTAACTCGGACATTCTTTCATTCATTTACTCTCTTACTCATTCACTCTTCTATTGGACATTTATTCAGTACTTCTACATGCCAGAGACTGTGAAGCTTCCTCCAAGAAACCTCAGTATTTATACTTCCAGTAAATGTACTCATGTCTGCCTCTTCCAGCTGAGCCTGGTGGGGAAGGACATGTCTCCCACATCACTAGGTTCTCAGAACACAGCCAGGGTCTGCACATGTTTGAGTAACAGTTGGCCTCTTAGCTTAACTCAGCTGAATCAGATACATGAGATGAGTCTCCCTTCTGAAAAGGATCCCAGGGACCCTGGCCAAGGATGGGAGCTATCATCGAGGACCAGCTGGCTTAGTCGTTCCAGCCTCTACTCTGCTAGCATGGGCCAAGCTGGAGAGAAGAAGGTGAGGGGATGGGGCTGAAGCAAGCAGGAATTAGAGGAGGGTCTTACCCGGGAGAAGAAGCAGTTGGTCACTTTCCTCAGGCGTGAGCTCTTCTCTCTCAATGTGAGGCATCCCACTAACCTGGTTTGCACCCCAAAACGAAACTCACGGGTCACCTGAGTTGTAATGTCCCACCCTCTTCCTTGGCCACCACTATCTAGCTATCAGTTAATTCAGGAAGGGGCACTTCCTTCTGAGTCTGCCCTAAGAGAAGCCCAGGGTAGGCAGGGCTATGGTGCAAACTTAAGCAAGATGACTGCAGGAAGCTGGAACCCTGAACTAGGTCAAGGACCCTGGGACATCCCCTCTGTAATACTCCACCCACTTTACTCAGAGTCTGAGTTTTGAGGTGGTGGCTCACCTCTGGAAAGATGGAGGAGCCTAGCATGAGAAATATACAGCACAATAGACAATTTTCCAAAATGTTTAAGTACTAACAAGCAAGAGGCAATGTGGAACACAAGAGGAAGAGGCTAACTCTGCCCTAGAGTGGGCAGAGCAAGTTGAGGAAGCTGAGCCTTGAAGGAAGAACAGCAGTATGCTGGCAGAGGTGACCCTTCACAAAGAGAAGAGCATGTACAAAATCATGGAGCACAAGGCACCTTCATGGTATGGAGTTCAACTCCAAAGACCTAAAGATACATGTAGGTGCAGATATATGATGGGAGAGGTAGCAGCCAGACTGTGGAGTCTAGCCTTGAGATAGTAGGCCAAGGAGGGGTAGAGAGGGAGGTTCACACCTTGGGTCTTCTCTACCAGAAGGGGAAAGGGAATCTCAGGCTACAGTAGGTGTTGGCCACAAAGCTGGTTTTCCCCAAACTAGTCTTGAATGCATAGAACCTTGGGGCATCACTATGACCACTGCTATGGTCTGAATATCTATATCTCATCTCCCCCCCAACAACAACAAAAAATTCTTATGTTGAAAATCTAATGCTCTAGTTGAAGACTTTAGGAGATGGGGCCTTTGAAAAGTGATCAGGTCATAAGGGCAGAGCTCTAATAAACGGGTCAGTGCCCTCATAAAAGAGGCCCCAGAGAGCATCCTTGCCCCTTCTGCCATGAGAGGATACAAGAAGTTGGCGTCTGCAACCTGGAAAAGGGCCCTCACCCAACCATGCTGGCACCTTGATCTGAGTCTTCCAGCATCCAGACTGTGAGAAATAAATTTCTGTTGTTTATAAACTATTCAATCTGTGGTACTTTGTTATAGAAGTCTGAACAGACTAAGACACCCACCATGATAGGAGACTAGACACACTACATGAATTTTCATTTCCAGGAAATTGGTGAACACATATTTTAAAACTTTGGGCTACCTCATTAGCAGTTAACCCTACCACTATCTACAGACAGAACATGGCCTCCATATGACACCAGGATGGAGACCAGGGACAGTGGCTCTTGCGTTAGTTTTGGCATGACTGGGCCTGGAAACATGCCAGATTATCAACCCTGCTGTACATTTCAGACATACAGGCTCTGAAAGACAGGGAAATTAGGGGTGGAGATAGGGAGGACAGAGTGGCCATCACCCATAACATCCTGCCTAGCCTGGGGCTCTAGTCTCTCTCAACTTTTCTCTAGTTCAGAGAGAATATGGAACTGAATGTGATTCATGCTGACAGCCAGAGTCCGCAGTCTTCTGGGCCAGGGTAAGTATATGTTCCTGACAAGTAATGCCAGGGTTTTTTTACCCATGTTTCTGGAAGTCCTGTATCTATTTCCCCAGGAGCAGGGGTCCCTAGGCAAAGTGTCAGGGAAGGTCTGTGTCAGGGCCTATGGAGGGTGGAAGTGCCTTGGGCTTAAGGTCTGTGAGCAGCTGTGACAACTCTGGCTGTAGCAGAGGCACAGCAGTGGCCAACAGTTCTCTTCAGATGCCAGATGGCCACTGACCGACAAGGAGAAGGACAAATCCTGACAAGCCTCCCTCATAACCCCTTAGTACCAATTTCCAGCTGTCCAGAAGGAACTGAGAAGTGGGAATTGGTGGTCAGGGAAAGGTGGGTTGCAGCCACGGTTGGGCTAGGAGCCAGGTTCTCCCTACTCTGAGCTGTTCACAGGCTTGCTTCTCACAGCTGACAGTGCCCAGCAGCCAAGCACACAGGCCCTCAATAAGTTCCCCACCTTTCCCCGCACACCGTTTTACCCCACGTGTGCCTTGCAGATCTTCTATACCCATCAAGCTCCTTCTTGCTGTCTTTGTTCATGCTGATTTATCTGGAATAACCCCCCTTTGCCATCTCCAGACTTTTTACCTAGTTTTTCTTATCCTCTAAAGTAGACTTCAGTCACCACCAATGCTGTGGAGCCTTTCCTGATGAGTTTCCTCTTGGCCCTGACCCCAGCTGAGTGTGGTCTATTGATCCCAGTGTCTTGGATTGGCTTGTCATCGCATTGACAACGGTCTATTAAAATCATCTGTTTAGGGGCACCTGGGTGGCTCAGTTGAGCATTTGACACTTGATCTCAGTTCAGGTCTTGATATCAGGGTTGTGAGTTCAAGCCCCACACTGGGCTCCGTGCTGGGTGTGGAGCCTACTTAAAAAAAAAAAAAAAAGGCGCCTGGGTGGCTCAGTCATTAAGCGTCTGCCTTCGGCTCAGGTCATGTTCCCAGGGTCCTGGGATCGAGCCCCGCATCGGGCTCCCTGCTCCGCGGGAAGCCTGCTTCTCCCTCTCCCACTCCCCCTGCTTGTGTTCCCTCTCTAGCTTTCTGTCAAATAAATAAATAAAATCTTTAAAAAAAAAAAAATCATCTGTTTATCTTCCCCCATTGTACTATGGGTTCCCAGAGAATGTTTCTTATTCATCTTTGGAGCCCCAGGGCCCAGGATCTAGACCTGACATATAATAGGTACCAGTTAATTTTTGTTAAATTGAAGCACCACATCTTCAATAGCCCAGGGCTTTGAAACTGAGAGGAAGTAACCTCTTCCTCCCTTCCTGGTGCATATGGCTTCAGCAGCCTTGCCACTCTGGGTTTATACATTCTTCTATCTTCCCACTGGTACTACCACCCACTTACTATCTGCCTTCCCCTCAGCCCAATTTCTACTAAATCAACTTAGGGCCAAAGCTGCTCTGCCTCACAGGTGAGAATGAGCCCATCCAAACTTAAAATTTCCATTGAGTTTGGGGACTTAAGTGGGAGGTAGGAGGTAGGGTAGTGAAGTACAGAGAGCATCAGCTCTAGTGTCAGGCAGACCTGGGTTTGAATCCCATCCCATTTACCAGCTGTATGACTTTAGGCAAATCTCTTCATTTCTCTGGGTCTCAGTTTTCCGAGCATAAAACATGGGAGACTACTTTCTCCATAGGATTTGCCTTAGTTTGGGTTTCCCCAGAGGCAGACCTAATTTGAGTGCAAATACCTTAACTAGGAAGCGATCCCGGCCAGGGCTAGGATTAGAGTGATGCATGTGAAGTGCCTAGCTACAAAATGTAAAGAGGCCCGGGGGTGCCTGGGTGGCTCAGATGGTTAAGCGTCTGCCTTCAGCTCAGGTCATGATCCCAGGGACCTGGGATAGAGCTGAGCATCGGGCTCCCTGCTCAGCGGGGAGCCTGCTTCTCCCCCTCCCTCTGCTTCTCCCCCTGCTCATGTTCTCTATCTCTGTGTCTCAAATGAATAAATAAAAAAATCTTAAAAAAAAAATGTAAAGAGGCCCTCTTACCTTCACATAAGTGCCAAATCTGCCTGTACATGAACCCAAGAGTGAGGGTCCCTCACCCTAGTCCCAGCCCTGATCTAGAAAGCACTGACAGGGGAACTGGAAGTGAGGTAGGAAGAAAAGGAAACCAAAAGAGCGTACAAAATTAAGTTGCTGCTGGGAGCTACTGAGGTTCAATCCCACAGAGGAACTCTGGGAACTCTGGTGGAGTATGCACCCACCTAAGAGGTAGGAGGCTCAAGTATTTATCCCCCAACTTCCATTTTTCACTGGCTGAGGACTGCCTCAGGGGCCTAGGACCTGGCATTCCCAGGCTGTGCCACACACAAGTCTAGAGATGTGCTAAGGCAGACAGCTGCAAGTTCTTGCAATAGGACATTGTGGGTATGTAATAGAATGGTGAGTGCCCAGGGGAAATGGGCAAGGCACAGCCCCTGCCAGAGGGCTGCTGTAAGGATGAAAGGAAATTACACAACCACAATGCCTAACACAGAGAACTCCTCTTCCCCAATTTATGGTAATAGCTTGTGAAGTTCATGGAGATTTCTAGCTCTCCAAGAGTTGGCAACACCAGCAGAACATCTGCTTCCCATCTTTCAGAAGCAAAAACAAAACACAACAAAACAAAACAACCCAAAATGTAAGGGTCCTAAGTGAGCTCTAAATGCCCAGGGACCTAAACTTGTTGGGGAAGACTGGTAGTTGATGAAGCTAACGTAGTCAAGGGCTCACTCCTCTAAGAACTGTCTCCTCTTGCATCTGCATCCCATCTCTCTCTGGCTTTATCATCTCTCATCCAAACACTACTTACGACATACAAAACTAGCATCACATTAATAACTGCTGCCACTCACTCATCATCTTCTTCATGTGACAGATACTTTGCCTTTATACCCATTACCTTACTCCTTACAACCCCGTAAGTGTGATTTCCCCATTTTTTGGACAAGGAAACAAAGTCTCAGAGAGGTTAACCTGTATCAGAAGCAGGGGTTCAGACTCAGGTTGATGTGATACTCTTTCCACTGACTTTTTGTCTCTTCATTGTCTCACTAATGCCTCTCCCACAGTACCACTGGCACAGGGAGAATAAAACAAGTAGCCTTGGGCGCCTGGGTGGCTCAGTTGGTTAAGCGACTGCCTTCGGCTCAGGTCATGATCCTGGAGTCCCGGGATCGAGTCCCGCATCGGGCTCCCTGCTCGGCAGGGAGTCTGCTTCTCCCTCTGACCCTCCTCCCTCTCATGCTCTCATGCTCTCATTCTCTCTCAAATAAATAAATAAAATCTTTAAAAAAAAAAAACAAGTAACCTTTTTCAAAGCCATGTTCTAGGGAGATTGCCCAGTTTTAAGCTAAAAACTGCACTTTCTAGAATCAGCCTTTTCCCTTTCTTCTCTTCAGGCAAAGAGATAAACATACTATCCCGTTTATAATGTTCTACCTCCAATAAATTGCCATTTAATGAGAGAGACTAGTGAGAATGAAGTTGATGGGACAGAACTTACTAATAAACTACTTTTCGTTAGAAGGAAAATAATCAATACTAGAGTCAAAATAAAGCATTTATGAGGGGCACTGTGGTCTCACTGCCATGCACCAAAAGTGGCTTTATTTATTCCCCTGAGCCTTTGTTTCCTCACCTGAAAATTAGGGAGAATACTACCTACCTCACAGTTGCTGTGAGGATTAAATGAAGGTACATACATTACCTAAACCGTAGTAGTTCCTCAAAAAATTAATACCTATTATTTATGTGATCCTGGCCACAATGTCGGTGCCATCCAACACCAAAACATGGAAGAAATCATGAGCCTGCCATCCTGCTTTAACTCAAAGAGCTTGTGTGCAATGCCACAGGCAAGAAAACTATTTTAAAGGCCTATGCAGTGCCTTCCATCCCAGCTATCTCTGACCACCCCCTCCTAGTCTAACACATACCTCATTTTCATCTTAAAATCAAGAGAAAGGTAACTTTGAACTTGATGAATTGGAAGTTAGTAGAGTCTGAATGATGTTCCTATTTATCCTGTCCCAGGATCCTTTCCTGGTTGGCAGCCACCTCCCACAGTCTTTTATTACATCTTCAAATCAGCTTGGGCCAAAGCTAGCTTTCTTAACGTCCTTGTTTGGTCATCTCCCTCAGATAGTTGCTTCTGCCATTCGATACCCTCTCATCTTTGAAGTCTGCAAGTACACTGCAGACAGACCACATCTTGTTCTGCAGTGAAAGCTCCTGGGCAGTTTGGTCAAGAATGTGCACTCCTCTACCTATATACTGAAATAGAAGTTATTTCCTGTTGCTGCTATGACCTTTGACAGCAAGAGAACTAATCTTGGCTCTAATAGATGAATATGCCTGGTATCCCCACTGGTTAATCTAGAAGAAAAATAATTGCATAGGAACTAGTAACAGAGCATTCACTTACAAATTCCTGGTAAGAATGGCAGGAGATATCCCTCAAAGGTCCTATGCTCTGGCTGAGAATTCTTAACTAGGTTATGCAGCAAAATGAAGTGACAGGCTGCTGAATGGTAGGGATAGCAAAATAAGAAGTTGGAGTTTGCCTTGGCGTCTTCCACAATGATGTCAGGAAAGGTGAAGGGAGTAACCACACAGTGCTCAGAATTGTGCACTATACATTCAGTGAATATAGGCAGTATGTCAAAGACCAGTAATGGAATTAATTTGGAAACATGTAATTTAGGATGTAATTTAGCTCCACAATTTAAATATTCCCACCCCAAACCCTGCAACACAGAAGAAAAAAAAGGAAGATCTTCATCTTATTGAAATAAGATTTCATACAAACATAAATATATTTAAATTTTCTTTTAACTATAAGTGAATCAGACTATTATAAAACAGAATACTATACACAATTGTCTGTATAGCTTATAGAAAACATCAAAACGAGAATGCTGCGTGGATGCTGGTGGTGAAAACTGCAGGACCAAAACTTGCTCAACAATGAAACAGGGGCCACTAAGACTTAATGACCATGGCCCACCCCTATTGCTAATGGTTTTGTCAACGTCTGGACCCTAGAAATTCAGGGTTTTCTCCTTCTTCCTCTGCCTGCTTTGGTCCGTGTCCGGCTACCTGGCCGGACGGTAAGTTGCTTTTTAAAGTCCACTAAGCAATCTGTGGCTTCTGAAATGGAAACAAAAGACTTGATGGGAGACTCGTTTAAGTTGAGATGTGGAAGGGAACTCTGCATCTCTTTGCTGCAGCCTGCCTCTTCCATCCCTGGTGAGGGCACCCTAGAAAGAAGGGGGAAAAATTCAGAATTCAACACACACCTACTAATAAGCACTAAGTATGTGTCATGCATTGTACCAGAGGCTTTTACACACATTATTAGTTCATCTAATCTTTGTAATAATCCAACCAGATAAGTACTATCATTCCCCCTTTCACAGATAAGGACACTGGGTAAATCATATACCCAAAGCCACAGTTAGATAGTGGGAGAATGAGAATTCAGACCCAAATTCCCAAACCTTTTTTTTTCCCCCTTAATTATTTTTTACCAAATTCCCAAACATCTTGAAATCTAGGTCAGAAGACCAGGGTGAGGAGGGAAGAATAAGTCACAGCTTTTGCACTCTGCCTGTTTTAACGCCATAAAACCGAACTAGCCATTCAATTCTTAGCCCAGATATGTATGGTGGGGCGGGGGGGTGCAGCACAGAGAGGTCACATAGTTCCATGGTGATTTCTACTTTCAATAGTTTGAATATCACACTATACACAGAACCCAGGACCAGGCCTGCACTTTTCTAGAACTGCTGACAGCCGTACTTCAATGTATACCCCAATTCACCTGAAGCTTCCTGTTTCTGAAGACTTGGTCTTTATTTCTGCATCTGTAATGAGAGAGAAAAAGTAATAATGTTAATAGTGTTGTAATCATTACCACTTCTCATTGCTCATGTGCTTCCTGTGTTCTGGGCCCTGTTTTTCATCAGTCTTATACAGATCCCCATCCCCAGACCCATAAAATGTGAGCATTAGCATTCAACAGGCTCAGCTGCAAAAGTATCAAGGTGAACACTTTTGAATGAACAACCTCTGAATAATCTACTTCAAATCTGGACTTGAGGAACAAGGAGTTGCCAAGAGAAATCTGCCACCTGCAGAGATTCACAACATGCTGATCTAGAGGCAGCAGGCTATAGGGCTTGGAGACGCTGCCTTTTTATAGTCATCAGAAGGCAAAACAGATTTGCTTAGTGGAAATGAACTGTTACAACTAGAAGGTAAGCAAATCTCACCAGACTTAAGCAAACGCTTCTCTTCCATCTGCATCTAGTGAATTTTAACAACAGCAACTAACAACAACAGTAATAATAGCAGCTAACATTTATCAAGAGCCTGCTTATGCCAGGGAATATGTTTGGAACTTTACTAGATATAATCCTTAAAATCCATGAAGTTGGTATTACTAACCTTATGCAATGCTCTTAACCAATCCACTCTACTGTTCCCTAAATACTAGGCACAAAGAGACAGAGTTACTTCCTACAATCCCTCAGGAATGTAGGCTGGGACACTAAACTAAAAGTAACAAATGATGCACAAAACAATAGGAGGAGGAAGAAATGTCTGCATGTCTGGTTTTCCAAGCCTGTTTCTGTGGAAGGTATTTGGGGCTTGTGTCATTCCCTTGTGATTTGGAAATTTTTTTTTCTTAACAGCAACTCCTAAAAATTCAGGCTTTATAAAGCCTGAAATGAAATACATGATGAACAATACAGGGTATGTCCTTACCATCTTCAGGGAGATATAACCTAGACTGAGTCTCAAAGTCTAGCTAATGGGTCAAATGTACACCCACATAACTCCAACAAATAGTGAATTGGCAGTGGCTATTTTTACTGGAAGGCCTGCGACATAAGCTCAGAAAACTGGTCCTGGGGTCTTCACCTGCAGTCTTGTGCTCAGATTGTTCCAAGAGACTGAGGAGCCGGCCTTCACTGCGGTTTTTTTCCTATGACAGAGAAAAACAGATGAAAGGGTTATCTCATGGCAGAGAATCTAAAATACAACTTCCTTAGCCCAGATCACAGTTGTCTCCAGGAGAGAAGGAATATAGGACATAGCTCTAGAAAAGTCTTTTGCTTTCTAATATATGAGGGTATACAAGTAAAAATACAAACTGTGATGATGAACAGAATACATTTTCATGCCAAGAATATTATCCAAGAATGGATAACCAGAGTCAAGGCAAATTATTCCACCAAGATCATATTAAAGAACAGTAGCCTTTGACCTATGATAGATTTAGAGAGATTTAAAATAGAAAATAAGAGTTTCAAGGTAGCTTCTAGAGATAGTGATGTCAGAAGAATAAACTGGCTCTATGATATAGGCACTTACCTATGAGCCCCAACTCCAAATCACTACCTCAAAATCACCCCATTTATACAGGGGTCCCTTTCTTTTGTCATGACAGATAATGGCTTATCCATCTTAGTGTGCAGTGATTACTAAGTGAGTAAGCCTAGAATATGGAGCTGCTGCTTTATCTTTGATCTCTAAGCCAAGATTTGCTCTTCCTGATCTCTAATTGCAAAGCCCAGACAGCACATTCATCTTCCCAGTGACCAGGGGCCAGACCTCACAGCTTCCTAAGACCAGGCACACAAGGTGCTAAACAGAGTTGATCTCAAATATGTTCCTGGCAGTGGGGGTATGGTTCGATATCCTTTCTGGAAAGGAATTTGGTGGTACATTTCAACAGGTTTTAAAATGTTCATATGCATTCCCCTATGAGTTCCACTTTAGGAAATCTAAGAAATAGTCAGTGGTACGCAGATTAATGGTTCAAATACAATCTTATAATACAAAAGAATTGGAAAGAACCTGAATGTCCAATAATATGAGAATGGTTAAATGACTTCTGTGTGATACAAACATTAAGAGTAATTTTTAAAAACAGTTTGAAAATAAACCCAGGAAAGGTGTCTATGCTATGATGTTAAGTTTATACACACACACACACAAACACACACACACACATACATATGGTCTCAACTACATTAAAAATGCATAGAAAAAAAAGGAAATAGGCCCAAATACTAAAAGTTGTTATCTCTAAGTAGCTAAATTGTGGGAGATAATTTCCCGATTCTTTATACTTTTTTTGGAATTTCCTATATTTCCTACAGTGAGCATGTATTACTTTTTAATTAAAAGAAAATATAATTTTAAAACAAAATCTTGTTTCTAGATAAGCAGAAAAGGGAAAGCTAGGGGCAAAAAAAAAAAAAAAAAGGGGGAGGGAAGGCGCGTAAAACATTCCATACACACCTTTGGGTTCCTCAGCTGCTGCTGCTGCTTCTCCTCCACAGCTGAGCAGACCTTCCCGCTCTCTTCAGGCCCAGCTCCTTGGTCACCCCTTGCAAGCTGGAGACAGGATTCTACATGACTCTGGTACTCTCGGAATGGGACCACGGATTTACAGAGATAACACTTCTCATTCCTAGCCAATCAGAAGAAAGGGGAAAGTTTTTAGATATTTTAAGATTTGCTTTTGCCTCTGGGCTCCTGGATATATCTCAAATTGTGTTTTTATGCTACTCTCTCTCAATTGTGTTTTTACGTTATTCTGTGGAGGAGACATGTCAACCAATGCAGATTCGCTCAGCGGGATCACCAATAAAACTAACCCGACGCCAATCAAAAGGACTGAGTGATTAGCAGTTTTCCCTGGCTGTTTCTCCGTATCCTGCTGTTGCAGCAGTGGGATGGTAATGAAATCAGTTCTTCTAACTATCTCAAACAATGCTGATTGCTCTTCAGACATAAAATATTCTGCCAAACTCTTCTGAAATTAAGTGTAATAGTTTTTTCAAAGGGAAGTTAAAATTTAGACCGAAAGGGGAACACCAAGAGCATTAAATCAAGATGACATTTTTACCAGGGTGGATGAACTTGTCTGATTAGTAAATTACGTCTGTATGCTGACTTCCCTAATTCTACAACCTGCAAGATCAACTAGGAAGTTACCAAAACCATGTGGTTCTGCCAGAGGCTTTTGCGCAACTTCATATACATAGTTATTTTTATCTTTTTATAACAGTAGAATCTGTAGAAAGAGGGGAAATTGTGTCCTTGAAATAAGGTTTATTGGGCATCAGTGAAAATGGAATCACAGGGGACAAAGGAAGAAAATGAACATTCATTAAGTATTTTCTCTGTGGTAAGAACTGGTACAAAGGCCTTTAAACACAATTTCTCAATTAATTCTTTTGCCCTATTAAGAAGGTACTATTCTCCCCAAGGTCCTATACCTAATAAATATCAGAAGCCAGGTCTGCTTGATTCTTAAGATCAACTTAGTTTTAAGAAGCTAAAGACAACTTTCCAAAGCTTGCTATTTTAGACTTCTCTTTCTGGCCATTACTATTTAGTTACTATACAGCAAAAGAGATCTGAATTAGCTCTAAGGAAAACTTTCTCTGGAGGTCTTCAAAAACAGGAGCAAAAAACTGCCTTATGAGAAAAGCTAGACCAGTGTACCTTTAAAATTTTATGAATTATTGCAAAAATCATAT